CGACATGTCTTGGAATAAGATCCAAAAATTGTTGTGATGAAACGAGGCATCATAGTTGATATTGTCGAATATATGGATAGGTTCAAAAGTGCTCCTACAAGGCAGACCAGTGAAATTGTTACCTTTGAGAATGTTGTTGATAGACAAAATATTTAATAGCCGACTATTGATTAGTTTTGTGAGAGCTTTTCATAAGCATTCGAGTAGCGTAATTGGCCGTGTGTTGGTTAAATTATATTTCCAGGGTTTAGGTTTAGGTATTAGATATACAAACGCTAGATTCCATCTGCTAGGTACCAGATTAAGTGTCAGGCATCTGCAAATTATAATCCAGAAACATTTAGCTGCGAAGGGTTTGAGGTGTTTTAACATCTCGTTTGAAATCTTAGATGGTCTAGGAGCTTTTCCATTAGGGAGCGCCTTAATGATGTTGTGCCATTTATCCTTTGAAAGGGGTTGCATAATGGAGTAATATATAGCAGGGTCAATTGAGTCGTCCAGTTTATAGACTTGTTCCCACACCTCTGGCAGTGATGGGTTAGAATATTGTGAACCAACCACTTTTTGAAAGTGTCTTGCTGTCTCTTTTTGAACATCTTTAGGGTCTGTAAGGAGTTCTTTGTCAGGGCTGTTGTTATTTATGCATCTATCTAGTGTAATAGTAGTGCAAGGACGATCTAGTAATGAATTGAACATGGATTTTTGGTCATCTACAAAGTTATTATAACGTCTTTCGATGGCATTGTTGATGGCTTTGGATTTAAATTCAGCTTCATTTAATTTTGCAGCAGTGTATAGGATTTTTCAAAGATCGATTAATAAGGGACGAATCTCCTTGAGGTTTTGTAACGAAAGTTGACTATTGTCTGGAAGAGTTATCGCATATTCAGTTGAGAAGGCCTGTATTTTTTTATACCAGGTAATCCATTTTGGGTCTACAGTGTTGTTCTTGATGCATTTGTCACTAGTTTTGCAAAGTTTTTGAATTAATTTGATATGCTTATAAGTTAGTTTAAGAATGCATGGTCTGAGATCGCGGGTGTTATGTGAAGTCTGTTTGTTAGGAATGGTTTTGGTGACAGCGTCTGTAATTGATGTTTATAGGAGATCCCAATAATAGTTCAAATGGTGAATTGTGTGTATATTATTCAAGGATATATTGTTAAGTCTAGTATGTTTGCATCGATGATCAACTGAAGCTCCAAAGGCAGACTATGCGTCTTCAGACATTTTGTCATATCGAAAGACTAGCTTTTTCATTGCAGTACGTTGAGTAAAGAACGGTTTAATAGTTGTTGAGGAGAAAGTTGCTAGTACGATGGCGTGATCTGATAAATCTCTGTCGACCTTTTCTACTGTCTGGTCTATAAGGTCAGGAATTAATGATGAGTGTATGAAAATGTGGTCTATCGTTGAACGTCCAGTGCTTGTTTCATATGTAATGAAATCATCGTTCGACTTCTGATTTTTGACGAGGTCTAAATTGTTAACCATGTGGAGATTATCGAGTGATGTGAAGAAGGCTTTTGAGTTTGAAGGATTGGAGGGACGTGATAGGTCAGCGTTAAAATCTCCAAGAATTATTGTAAGGAAATCCTTTTGGTGTATCTCATTTATTAAGTCTAGAGTTTTTTTGTAGGATTTGTCAAGTAGTGTTTTATCTGAACTGGAAATATAAACGTTAATGATACAGAGTTTTTGTTTGTTTTTAAATTAAAAGTCTATCGAGTAGATGTGGTGGAAAAAAGAGGAGTGGTGAAAGACATGGTCAGCTAAGTGTTTCTTTATCAGAAAGCCAACTCTGAATCCCATACTTTGTGCCGAAGGGTCGGTATTAAAGAAGGGAACAAATTTATTGGAACAAATGGGTTTTAAGGAATGTATATGGAATGAATTTTTAAAATTAGTTTCTTGTAGAGCGATGATATCAAGTTTATGCAGAACGTATAAATCAAATAGAGTTTGTTGTTTGTATGGAAGAGTGAAGGAACGAGTATTATAGGTGGTGATATTGAAGGTGAGGGACGCTGATTCAGTATATGATGGTTGTATTATCATAATTATTTGAAAATAATTCTGGAGCAGGGACCTCTGTGCCATCTTCTAAAGAGTCGATTGTGCCAGACATGTTGAGTTTAGGAATTGGAATTATGTGGGTGGGGTGTGTTTCATCGAGGACCATGTGTTGAATGTTGGAGACAGCTTTGAGAGCAATATTTAGTTTTTCTACTGTTATTTTGTTGTGCTTTCGTAGTTCTTCCGTCTCTGCATGCAGGATTGCAATATGTTTTTCATATTCAATGACTCTGGATTCTGACGTATCAACTTCAGGTTTGTAGACGGTATCTGTATCCATAGTGCCTTCCATTTTAGCTGCTTCATTGAGCGCAGCTGCTTTTTTTGGTGTGACTGAGAAGATGTTCAAATGCTTTTCCACTTCGTCAAGACAGTGCATTGAAAAAGCGAGATCATTATGAATATTTGCAAGAGTTGCAGTAATGGCGTCCAATTGATTTAAATTTTTTGTGTGTCCGTTAGCTCATATGCTGGTGTTTTAGTTGATCAGTAAGGTGTGTCAGTTTCGTCCATTTGTTCTGACCATGATTTCTTCGTGTGCATCAAATCATCGAGTGAGGATTTATTCGTTGGTATTTTAGGTTCGTTGAGTTGATTCAGGGGGGTATTACCCAGGGGTTTGACGTCCTTAGTTCTATTAGCGAAAGAGCGTGGATTTTTCAGGTTGAATATTGTTTCTTGGTTATGTACGAACGTAATCTTAGGACGAGACGTCAGTGTAAAGTAATTTTTGAATTGCGCAGGCTTGTAACGTTGATATAGATTCTGCGTCTGTCTGTCTTTAGAAGTTGGTCTTTTGCGTTTGCAATTTCTTGAGTCATGACCAGAGATGGAATAATGTGCATACAAATTGGTATCTGGTGCAGTCCAGATAAGTTTCCTGTTATCAAACTCAATAGGGTCTCCATTTTTTGCCGCTTCAAGATCAATTTTGTTACTGAAGTGCATAAAGGCGTAAGGGAGATTTCTGTAGTTCGATTGTGCTTTGGAAATTACCCATATAATCGCATTGACAGCTTTTCCGATGGGTTCTAATTCCCTACCAGTGGTGTCTTTGGGAAGATTTGTTAAATTTAACGTGTACAGGGAGCGAACCTTGATTTTCTCATTTGTGAGGGAGCAGACATGTACTCTGACCATGTCTTTCAACACGAAGAGGCCAGCATGTGAAGTGAAAAAGGACAAGTCAGTTTTGGGTGCATATGAGATGGTCGCCTGTTGCTAAAGGTTTTTCATCATCATTGTGCATCTGACAATCATACCAAATCTGGCAAATGTAAATCTGATAATCTGTTCTGATGTCGAGATTGGAATTTCTGTGACCTTGATTAACAGATTCAGGTCGAATTTAAATGGGACAGGTGCAGTAAGAGGTAAAAATGTGACAGTTTCCATATTAGGAATTTTTGTGGCCATTGCACGATTGGCGTCATCTCAAGTTGTAAAGCCTAAACAGACAATTTTCAACGTTTTATTAGTGGGTCAGGTTTGATGGAGGCACCAATGAACAAAGGGTAAGCTGCGCCATTGAAGAATTCGCATGCTTTGTTAGTCTTTTCTTTGAAGGATTTATTCGGAAGAAAGGTTTCTGCAGCGTAGTATATGTAGAAAGTAGTCGCGTCTCAGACTCTTTTATAAGTAATGGTATTTCTGCTAGCGTTTTTTTCATTTAATAGATTTTCTGAGGCGTCAAACGCTTGGTCTTCGTCCATTTTATTATCATTCCCAGGGACCGATATTTCACTATCCTTTGGTTTGAGGATAAGAGAAGGACCAGTAGTTGTATTTGGAGTGGTGCTTTCTTTGGGGAACCAGACAGAAGTATCGTTTGTAATATTTATATTTTTATTATTAGCTTTTATTTCAGCGAGTACTGTTTCTGCTTATTCGTTTACGCTCATATCATCAGCCGAAAAAATGTTGGTGGTGGTTACGACGTTTGACGGTCTAGCTGGAGTTTCTGGAGTTTGGAGAGACCTGCCAGTCATTGTTTTTTTCTGGAGAGGTTTGTCTTTGTTTTTTGTTGGAGAATCTGGGCGAGTATGCAAGTTGCGATTATTGTTTTGTGAAAGTTTTTGATTTTTTTCTTTTCCTATTTTTTTGGTTTTTGAAGAGAAAGGGGAAAAGTTTTTTGATATGCAAAAATGATCTACAAGGTTAAAAGGATGATCACTTTCGTGACATATTAAAATGATTTGCAGTACTGTAACTAAATTAGATAATTAAATGATTTACATGTCTTGTTTCCTAAATTTGATAGTCTAATTTTGTTATACAAATAGGCCTTATTACGTCATTCGTAATTAATGACATTTATTTCATTTATTTCATTTTATCATTTATTTTATTTTATTCATTTATGTTATTTATCTATTATATTTATTTTTTTATTTTATCTATTTTCTTTATTTTATTTATTTTATCGTTATTAGTGAATGTTTTTATATAAATAGGAGTGATTCATCAATGTAAAAAGATAAGAACCGTTTTGTTTTGAATAATTCTTTTGATAAATAAACTGTTTAGTACAGACACGCTAACAGAGGCAGTACTAGTCTTTTGTTTATTAAATAATTATTTGCACACATTCCTTTCAGTTTATCGTAATTCTCTTTAATTTCTTGTTTCGTATCTTTGTCTTTACTCTTCCGTGTGAAGGAAACCTTCTGCTAAACTGTAATATCGTAGGTGATTTACCTACGATTTAAAAGAACTGGCGTAATAATATTATAATGCAGGCCAATCTAAATATAGTTTAGTCTATAAATAATGTACGACCTTTTTTTTTATTTTTTAAAATTTAAATGAGACGATCAAAACGACAAAGATAACATTATAAAAGTATAGCTAAAAAAAGAAATATTCATAATGTTATTAATGAGACCAATCTAGATGACATTTTAACTTTAGATGATGGAGAAAGCATGGAGGATGAAGTTGAAGTTGGATGGATCGATGACCAAATTGAAAATGATGCAGAACAGTTTTTTTCAGTTTTAATAAAAAATATGAAAAAATTTAAACCTTCTAAATGTCCATTAGTTAATTTATGAAACTCATGCACAACTAAATACTAAAGAAAGCTTAAAACATTAGAAGATCAAAAAAAGAATGGATAAACAATTTACCAAATATTATCAATTAGTGATTATGTTAGTTATCATAATAATCCTAAATGTAATTCTAATGATAGCTCTAATGATAATTTTTATAGTGGTTCTTATAATGGTTCTGGTGATGATTCTGATGGTGGTTCTTATAATAGTTCTGGTAGTAATTTTGATGGTGATTTCAGTGTTCTTAGTAACAGTTATGATGATAATCTTGATCATGATTTTAATTCCGATTTTAATAAGACAGATATATTTATAAGATATACTATGGCTATTGAAAATAAATTGAAGATTGAAGATAAGCATTTAACTTCAGGACATAAGTTGCGACTTAAAGCTATCCAGTATTATCTACAACTTCTTAACAAAGGACATGCAAAGTTAGAAGCAAGTCAAATCGTTGCAGATCTTTTTAATCGAGAAAAATAGTTTTCTCGTTGTGTTAGAAGTTGGTCTAAAGTATTTATTAATTATAATGATGTTCCTAAAATTAATCATGGCAAACAGTTTAAAGGTAGCAGCATTATTGATGATGAAAATGTTCAATTAAAGGTTACAGTATATTTACGACAACACAAATTTGATATAATCGTTAATAATTTTTGTGATTATGTTACAAATGAGATTTTACCTTCCATTGGCATAGAAAAAAAAGCTAAGATTAGGTAAAATTTGTTTATTATTATAATTTCTATTAATTATGATCTAATAAATAAAAATTTTATATTATTATAGTAAAAGAATAGCAATCCGATGGTTAAAACAAATGGGTTTTGTATTTAGTCAATATGCAAAAGGAATGTATATTAACAGTCATGAAAGGAATGATGTAATTGCTTATCGAAAGGAATTTCTTAAAACTATGGTTGGGTAATATTTCACTTTATTATATTTATTATATATTTATTATATTTTAATATATTTTTTTCCTGTTAGTTATCAAAAATTAATGCCAAAATTTATTGAAGATGAACTCGAAGTTAAAATAGATCCAGAATTAGAAGATGGACAATACATACATATTCTTGTTATCCATGATGAAACAACTTTTCAATCGAACGATGAAAAAAAATCAGGTTGAAGACCTAAAAATAAGCAACCTTTACGAAAAAAAAGGACAAGAAAGAACAATGTATGTTAGTGATTTTTTAACTGATACAATTGGAAGATTAAAATTGAATGAAAATAAAGAAGATAATATAATTCTAAATGAAGCTCGCATCATAATTAATTCTAGAAAAAATTTTGATGGATGGTGAAATGTCGATCAATTAATTGATCAGGTATTTTTTATATTGATATTATAATAATAATTAGTATTGTTAATAATTTTAAAATATATTTTGTTAGGTTAAAAATCGAGCTATACCAATTTTTGAAAAAACACATCCTGACATGGTTGCTATATTTGCCTTCGATAATTCTTCTAGTCACGCAAAATTAGCTGATGATACTCTAAATGTGACAAAAATGAACCTTAATCCTGGAGGCAAATAGTCAATTATGCGTAATACAATATTTAATAAACAAATACAAACCATGATATTCCCTTTTGATTATTTTGATGAAAGTCTTCGTGAAAAGGCTAAAGGTATGAAGGTGATCTTACAAGAGCATGGTTTATAGATTTCAGGATTAAAAGCTTTTTGTAGTAAAAATAATGAATTAACAGAAAATTCTAAATGTTGTGCACGTCATATTTTGAGTGCTTAGGAAGATTTCTGCAATCAAAAACCTTTATTATAGGAAATTATTGAAGGACTTGAACATAAAGTAATATTTTATCCAAAATATCATTGTGAACTTAATTATATAGAAATGTATTGGGGGCTGCAAAACGTTATACTCGACAGCACTGTAATTATACATGAAAGGGTTGCAAAAAATAGTTCCGTGTGCATTAGACTCAGTTCCTTTAGGTCAAATACGAAAATATGCTCAAAAATCAGCAAAATTTATGGAGTGTTATTGAAGGGGATTAACAGGATTATAAGCTGAATATATTTTAAAAAAATATAAGTCTTACCGAACTGTTTCAAATTTTGTTTTTGAAACTATTGATATGACAATTTAATAAAATAAATGATATTACATGATTAGATTTGGACCAATCATAAATTATTTTATGGCTATCACGTAATTTGATAGTTATTTCCAATTTGAAATACAATAATTTGATTTGATGATTTATTGTGACACACACTATACTAAATATTAGAAATATTAAATATATTAAATATATTTAATATGTTATATATAATAAACATAATAAATATGTTTAATTTAATTAATATAGTTAATTTATTTAATATAATGTTATATAAAATTAAAATGTATAAATGTAGCTCTTTATAAATAGTAGTAAAAATAGATTGATAGTTGTATGCAAATTATCTTAAATAATTTTATACTACTTTTCTTTTATTTAATGAATTTTATTTTTCTATTTCTTTTATTTTCTTTATTTTATTTTTTTTTCTCACTATATTATTATTATAATTAAATAAATTTTAATTAAAACTTAAACTCTATATAAACATAATTATAATTAATTAAAAGTTATAGTATTAAATAAATTGCATATAATTAATAGTTTAAGTTACTTAAGAATAAACAACAAATTATTTATATTACTATGTAAATTATAAAAGAATCAATCTTTGAATATTGTATCTAATTGTTACAATTTATAAAGAATATATATGAATACTTTGTAGTAAAAAGGAAGAAAACTATCAAAAAAAAATTTTTTTACTTTTTAAGTTAAATATTATTTTTTTTTAGTAAAATAAATCCAGATTTAATATTAACTTAAAAAAATTTTTTTGGTATGGTGTAGATCATCTAAAAGTTAAACAGTTCAAAATTTTTTTCACCAATTATAAACATATCATGTGACCTTTATCCAATCAAAACAAACACATGATTAAAATTACATGTAATTTGATATTAAAATTATTGATTTATTGATTATAGTTTAATTTATTAAATCATGAAGCAAAAGAAAACTTTTAAAATTAAAAAAAATATTATTTAATTTGTTTTATTTAATTCTTCTAATACATTTTTAGGAATTTTTCTGTGTGATTTATATTTCTTAATAGTATATTCTGCTAACTTATTTGTAATTCTATACTTATATAAATTTATATCACCATATTTTTCTTGTAAATCTATGAATAGTTATTAAATCTATAGAATTTAAAGTACAAGAAACTATTTTTTGTAATCTACTTTATGTATAATCATAATTATTTTGTATATATTATTTGATTGCTCTCTAATAATGTTTAATAAAATTTAACTAACAATGAAATTTTAAAAAAAATACACAAATGTGGTTGACATTTTCAATTATTTCAACTAATACAGATTTTTGAGTTAAAAGATCTGGTTAAAGAGATATAATCCATCTTTTACAACAATTTACACGTAAAAGATATTAATTTTACTTTTACATAATTTACATTCTCCTATCATTTTTTTTATAATCCTCATTAATCAAAACTTATTTTATATCTTTTAACTGATCATCAGAAGAATTCTTATTTTATCTTTCATTATTTAAACTCCAAAAAGTATTATGCATCTTTGATACATTTTTACCAGGTTCAATATTCATCTTTTTTGCAACCAATATATCAGAAGTAAATGCAGAATGATTTGAACTATTGTTAAAAGCAAATACTCTAACACAATTTGAAAATAAGATTTCAAATATAAGAATAACTTTATATTTAACTTGTTCAATAAGGTATCCAGCTATCTAATATCCTTCATCATTTTTTTCTAACTTTAAATATACTTATGCTTCTTCTGAAACATCAAGAAAGTTTTCAATTTACTTAACAGTTAGTTTAAATCTTTCACAAGCTTTAGTTAAAAACTTACTTACCTTGAATAATTTATTAATTATTTATTAAAAATAAAAAAATTTAAAAAAAATTTTTTAAATATAATAAATTATATTCTATAAAATGATTTATTAATAAAGCTCTTATATAATTTTAATATAAATTTAATATATAGATTATTATAAGATAAGATAAAGATGAAATTCAAAATTTTAATTATAGAAAATAAATAATCTAATATAAGATTTTTTTTAATATAACTTAGTAATTTTAATAATAATATATTATTTTAATATAAAAATTGCTAAATAGAAGTAATTCAAAATATTTGATATTAAAAAAAATGATTTAAAAATTTAAGCAATATGTGAAAAATATATTAATATAGAAGATTATAAAAATTAATAAAAATTATTATATAAAATTTATATATATTATTAAAAGATATAATTATTATTTTTTTTTTTATTAAAAATAATACTTATAAGCTAAAAATTTGTAATTTTCATATTAAAAAGTTTTATTATCAATTTATTAATTGGCAATTTTTATTTATATATAGAGTATTTGAATATATATCATGTACTCATCATTTTCATGTGACTTAATTGTACAAAATTTTTTTATTATAAAATTTAATGTAAAAATTAATATGCATCTATATTATAAATATTAGAAATAAATATACATATATACTATAAAATTAATATTAATAGTTAGTTTAATATATCTTTACATAATAACTATATTATTTATATTTTTTACATTTTTATACTCTTGTTTTATTTTTTATTATATTAATTTTTGTGTTATCTTTTAATATATATTTTTCTGAAATTTTTATACTTGATTTAAACCTTTTTGAAAGATATTTTTTATATTTGATAATAGTTAAATTATTAATATCAGCTGAAGATTCATATTATTATTCTACATGTTATAGATAAAAACTTTAAGTAAGTTTATTAATTTATGTATATATTAGCTTTAAGTATATAATTAATATCCTTTTTTAATAATCTTAATAATTTTGTGTAAATAATTTTACTTAATTTTACAGTTAGTTAAGAACTATATAAATCAAGCTGAAATAAGAAAATAGTAAAAGTTGATATTTTTTCTGTTTCTACATTCTTTTTTGTATTGTACTTTATAGAAACTTGATTTTCTTAATACGTAGTAACTGCAAAATGTCTATAATGTAAATATATAGTTACTACTGGATAACACTATTATAAGAGTGTTATCCAGTTCCGCTAGAATATTATCTGGTTATAAGTATATTGTTACCTAGTTATGAGTAAATTATTACCTAGTTATGAGTAGATTGTTACCTACTTA